AGAGCCATTCTAGTCACGCTCAGCTCCAGTGTTGCCTAGCAAAGCTCAGCTCAAAGCTGCACTAGCAAGACTCAGTTTAGAGCTGCCATATTAGCTAGAAAAGCCTGGCTTAGCGCTTGGCTAGCCGTGCTTGGCCTCGGTGTTATCTCCCTAAGCCCGGCTCAGCCGTGCAAAGCCCAGCTCAGACTTGAGCTGGACCAGCCGCGCTTACCGAGCCGTGCTAGCTGAGCTCAGCCTTGATATTACCCAGCAAAGCTCAGCTCAGGGCTGTGCTGGCAAAGCTTAGCTTAGAACTGTAATATTGCCCAGCAAAGCCCGGCTTAGAGCCATTCTAGCCATGCTCAGCTCCAGCGTTGCCTAGCAAAGCTCAGCTCAAAGCTGCACTAGCAAGGCTCAGCTTAGAGCTGCCATATTAGCTAGAAAAGCCCGGTTTAGCGTTTGGCTAGCCGTGCTCGGATTCGGTGTGATCTCCCTAAGCCCGGCTCAGCCTTGAGCTGGACCAGCCGCGCTTACCGAGCCGTGCTAGCTGAGCTCAGCCTCGATATTACCCAGCAAAGCTCAGCTCAGGGCTGTCCTAGCAAAGCTCAGCTTCGATATTACCCAGCAAAGCTCAGCTCAGGGCTGTCCTAGAAAAGCTCAGCTTTGATATTATCTAGGTAAGCCCAGCTTTGAGCTGTTCTTAGAAAGCTCAGTTTCAAGCTTTGCCGGAAAGTCTCAGCTTTACGCCGCGCCAGCTCAGATTTGAGGCTCTCGAGGTTAAGCCTGGCTTTGAGCCGTGCCAGCCGCACTCGGGGTTGGGCTTGTCTAGAAAAGCTCAGCTTTGATGTGTTCAAGTCGCTCTTAGGTTCAAGCTTTTCTAGGAAAAGCTCAGCTTTGAGCTTAGCTGGGAAAGCCCAGCCTTGACCTGTGAAAAAAAATGCTCAGCTTTAGGCTCGCTTAGTAAAGCCCAGCTTTAAGCTGTGCAAGATGTGCTCAGCTTTAAGCTTGTCTAATTAAGCCCAGCCTTGACCTGTGAAAAAAATTGCTCAGCTTTAGGCTTGCTTAGTAAAGCCGAGCTTTAATCTGTGCAAGAGGTGCTCAGCTTTAAGCCGTTCTAACAAAGCCCAGCTCTGAGCTGTGCTCAGCTTTAAGCTTGCTTAGTAAAGCCCAGCTTTGAGGTGTTCAAGTCGTTCTTAGGTTCAAGCTTTTCTAGGAAAAGCTCAGCTTTGAGCTTAGCTGGGAAAGCCCAGCCTTGACCTGTGAAAAAAATGCTCAGCTTTAGGCTCGCTTAGTAAAGCCGAG